CCCCAAAACCCCAAAACCCCAAAACCCCTTTTAAAAATATAGATTGATACATTTTTACAAGTCTTAATCATTTTGAATCTTTTGTAGTCAGGCTCATCTCCAAACGTATCATCATCTTCTTCATGTTGACGCTTCCCTTGATTAGTAGGTGTTGCTGCAAATAGGCCACTCGAGTTAGAAAGATTCTTTGTAATCTGAGGCTGAAAATATTGATCATTTTCAATCTCAAAATCAGGTTCATCATTTAATCCGCCTGAATACTTGAATTCCTCAGTAACTGGAGGTTTTCTAGCTTTAAAATATGAGTTATCTTATGCATAAAATCTCAAAATGCTTATCTTGTTGGATATATCTTTTCTTTTGTCAGAATCTTAGTCATCTTCAGATCCTTCACCTTCATCATCACCATCGCTGATATTATCACCATCATCGCTATCATCATCGTCATCGCTATCATCATCGTCAAATTCTTCTCTGTGTTTTTTTATTTTTGAAGCTTAATATTATTCTTTTAGGTTTACCTCAACATTTTCCTGCCATATTGGTTAAAGCTTCCTGTCCTTCTAGCTACTTTAACATTAGTATTATCTTTGTTTTCTTCCCGAAATTATCAATCTCAGAATCTCCATCACTCTCAATATACTCTAGCCCCTTCTGTGCAACATCATTCTCTTCATTATCTTGAAAGATCTCGTCATTGTCGAAATCAGCATCTTATTTATTCCTTTTTGCATTTATTTTCTCATTCCGTTTCCTTAAGGCATCTTTGAGGATCTCTTCTCTATTATCTTCAGTGTTGACTCCTAGACCGGCTCTGACTTTCTCATTGTGCTGTTCCACAGCTTTTGTACCTGCATTAGCCTTTTTACGATGTTTGAGATTAGTTTGAGCATACTCTGGATCATTACTAAAATTCAGTAGCTCCTCCTGGACTGAAGAATCCACATGAGACAGCTGCTTTTTGAAAGTATAACTCTTCTCAAGAGGAATTATGTAGAAGAGTTTATTTGAGTAATACATGACTACTTGGTTCTTATTAGGCCCACCTATTTCCTGACCTTCAAAGTGCTGAGTTTGAGTACCTACATTTTCTTCATAGATATTGCCTAATTTAATATTCTTCTTTTTCTGAGTGATCTCCTCTACAGCATAAATCTTGTTAGACTTGGGATCCATCTTCATTTGGGTCTGCTTTAAATCTCCTATAAAATTTGGAGGGAAATATCCCAGACACCAGGAACTAATATTCTGGTTATTAGAGGTAGTATTATTCCTATTGATATCCCTCTTCTTTACATGTATTTCAAATTTTTTCTCCTGTTGCATTTGTGACATATACTTTTTGTCCCAAAAGATAAATTAATATTATATAACTTCCAATTATTTAAAGAGTTTTAGGGGTTTTGGGGTTTTGGGGTTTTGGGGTTTTGGGG